CACGATTACCACTGGTGAAATATGAAGGCAGATGTTCACAGATTATGAATATGGTAAACTCTTTAATGATTCTGATCTCATAACAAGTGTACTTTTTTATGAGGTCGAAAATTGGAGAAGAAACATCTTTAATATCGATTCCACTGTAAGAAAAATGAATATTTTTGGAAAACCGACGAAATAAAACTTACGGTTTCCTCCAACTTTTTATTTAGAGTCTGCATCTCCTCAACCATGCGTCGAACTTCTCCTAAGATAGCCTGTTCTGGTATCTTTCTTATTGCAGCTTTTCTTTCCTCTGCCTAGCAAGGGATGAAACGCCAGTTTAACATATTAATTTTGTTGGTGAATGAATTGAATATTTTTTAACATCCAACATCATAAATGCTCAATATTTAACTTTTTTTTGGTACAATGCAAGGCGTGAGCTAAGATAAAGCAATGCTGAAGACGTATATCAAAAGAAAAATGCCAAAGAAGATGCAAGTTTTTGGTACAAAAAAGAAAAAGGTCTACTTAATTCTCAAACAAACGCCCAAAAATATAGTCCCTTACACATGAAAACTTCAATATCCACATTAGGAAACTAAGTTTTGATAAATACAACAGCCCAAGCCAACTGCTAGTAGATATTGTCCTCTTTCGGCTTTCCTTTCTGGGCTTCCCCTCAAAGTTTTTAAACGCGTCTATTAAGAAGAGGTTTCCACACCCTTATAAGGAATGATTCGTTCTCCTCTCCAACGAATGTGAGATCTCACAATCCACCCTCCTTGGGGGCCCAACGTCCCCGTTGACACACCGCCCTGTGTCTGGCTCTAATACCATTTGTAATAGTCCAAGCCCGCTGCTAGCAGATATTGTCCTCTTTGGGCTTCCCCTCAAGGTTTTAAAACGCATCTATTAGGTAGAGGTTTCCACACCTTTATAAGAAATGTTTTGTTCTACTCTCCAACCAATGTAGAATCTCACAAAAATAAAGGTTTGAAAAACTCAGCAGCCGTCTTCAAATAGTTTTAACAAAATCACAGAAGTCAGATAATTTATTTTGGACAACAGAGCTTCTCTGTTGCTCTGTGAAGATCCCAAGAAACCCATGTCAAGCTATCTCATTTTTTCTATTCGAACCATACAAGTTAAGCTGTCCCAACCATAAGTAATCCGTCTGGTCCTCTAAGGAAAAGAGGAAAAAAGATAGCCTCTTGAAACTAAGTTCTCCAAATTTTAGAAACAAAAAGAAGTGGGATGAAGAAAAGGAAAGACCAACCAAGTGCAAAACCATCACTTCCAAATGTAGGCTGATTCAATTTATAAATGGCCTATGGCAGCATTTATTAGAGTTTACTGACTTAGCGTAATAATCAGCTAACACAACTCTTAGTCAAAAACTAATACTCATGACTTCATCGGGACAAGTTAGCCCGATGACCAAGAATGTAGCCTTGAGAATAACATTGATCAAACCAAAGGTATTATATACTTAACCAAAAGTTCAGAAGTTCGAATCCCCACTCTATGCTTCCCAATCATTCAAATAGAAAGTTCTTCAAAATGTCAAAGTTCTCATGTTCCAAGCACAAAATGGCTGAGAAATTTAAACTTTCCCTCATTGCATCCGAATTTAAGTGTACATAATAACCAGTTCCATCCTTTCAAAGCGAAAACCACCATGATATACCAATAAACCTTGACATAAAAACCAAGAACCCTAATAGAAATTGCCTAATCATAACAAAACAAAACCAAAACCAAAAGATCCAACCCCGAGTACCTTCTTGAGACGCTTTTCGAGCTCCAACCTAAACGATCGAATCCGCCGCTCTTCATAGCCGGAGAGGACTTTAACGTAGAAGAGGGCTCTTCGTCCAAGCTCTAGAACCTTGTCCATCCAAATCCCTCCAACTATTCAACACACAGATTTCCCTGCGAAGTCAAACAGAGCCGAATCTGTAAATATGACAGCCCATTTAGAAATTGAATTTCTTAATTACAAAAGATGGGGTTGGGGGTTGAAGCATACCAGATGAAGCCATCGATCTATTTGGAACGAACACAGTGATGCCGAGACGCTGTGTTTCTTTCCCTTGCGGGGGCGGGTTTGCTTCGAGCTTATAATTTATATATGGTCGAAAATGATTTCGCTATGCATCTTTACACCATTGTTAATTTTCAATTTTCAAGGATAAATTGAAAAACTTAAGCTTTTAAAAGCATCCGTTTATAAGTGTGAAATTATGAAAACAACATTTTTTAATTTATATAAAAAATTCTACAAATTTTATAATTATTCAAAAATTATAACAACAAAAAATATTTAAATTTTAATTAATAATAATTTATACTTATGTAATATTTAGTTTTGCAACTACAATCAATTTTATAACTTATAAAATAAATAGATTATTGAACAATTTTGAACTATGGAGTAAAAAAAATAATATAGATTCACTTCTATTCAAAATTGAATAAATTTTGTTTTTAAGTGATCCATTTTTTCGAAAAAAAAATACTCAAATTTTGTTATTAATTTAATTTAGACAACAGCATCGCATAAGAATGTTAGCCGAAAAAATATTCTATTAAGCTATTTACAACAAGAAACGTTTTTTTCTTTTTTTTTCAATATTATATTATTATGCAATATTAAATTGCAAAATGTATTTTAAATATTTTGGACGGAAATTTAATTTCAATCTCGCAAGGCGATGTAGGAGAGAAAATGATATCAATTAATTAGATGACTTACACCACAAGAAAACCTTTCTAACCTTTGGTTGTGTTTCATGGGAAAATTACAAGATAAAACTAAATGTCTGTATCTGATCTCTGCTCAACCCCAAACAAGCTAGCACAGTCCTTTCTAACTACGTACTAATAACGAAAATCTCAAGAAAAACTCATGCTACGATTCACAAGATTTACAAGGATACCTTGGGGAGGTCTCTCGGGTGTCCGCGGCAAATCCAATCAATTGGCTGTTAACTAACTGATCGTGAGTTCAAATCCTACTTGGAGAGAATTTTGGGTTGCCCTCATTGCGGGACTTAACCCAACACCAAAGCTACTGCTTTCGGGTACGAACGTTCATTTAGCCCCCTCCTCTTTTTCTTCTTCTTCTCGTTCTTCACTGTGGAGTTCTTTAGCTGCAAAAGAGTGAAGTCCATTGAATTGGGTGAGTGGAATAACCAACAAAAACATCGTTAACTAATGCTTGATTTGACTATTTGTTCTTGTTTTGTTTTGAAAGTTTGGCCAAAGAATTCAAATGTTTCTTCAACCAAAATGAAGAACAACTCACCATTATAACGAGAATTCGGACAAAAGCACCAATGAAATCAGTAAGGAGAGTCAATGCGTGCTTCACGTAATCCACATCACCAAGATGCGCCCTCTCGATTATTTTCTGAGTGTCAACCACCACGTAGCCCACCAACAGCAGAAGTCCAAAATACAACTACAAATGAGACGAATAACACAAAATTGAGGTCAGGCCTGCTGCAGCAAGGCAAGGGGATCAATGTCTACTTTCCTGTTCATGAATAGCTTGAAACAGTAATATATACACCTCAAACTTGAAAATGGCAGTGGAACCACCGAATATAGAGGAAGCAAAACGCAGCCAGAGTAACATGGATATTCCAGAAGAAAGCAGGCCACCCAGATAAAGGAATTCTCTGCGCCTTGCGAACATGGCTGCTGCTGAAAAACAACCAAAGGCCACTGCCGTTCCCACAAATGCACTGACCAGAACACTAGGAACAACACACAGAGTTTATGAAATCAATAAAATGGTGTAATTTCAAATGATCAGCCATTCCCAAAGCCTAACAGTACAAAAACAATTCAATTCAAGTCAATTGCAGAGGCCAAATCACAAAAGTACAGTCGCTTGATTCAACGGCAGAGTAAAAGAATCATGACAATAAAAACTGTATGCTGCCGATAGCTTACCTCGGATCAATCTCAATAGCCACACTGATCAAAGGACCAATTGAAGCTCCTTGAAGAAGAGCAGCCCCCATTAACATAGAAACCCTCTTTTTCTGATGATAAAATCACAAGACATAAACCAAAGATACAGTACAGAGAACACAAAATAAGTAAAGAAATCTACCTCTTCATATGGAGGAGTGACCATTAGCCATGCGATGCTTCCGATACTAGCAAGTGTTGTGAGAACACCGCCAATGTTCCAAAGCATATGAAGATAAGCTCCAGCCGCAGATGCAACTAAAGCACAACCTAGAGTAAGGTAAACCTGCAGATTCGCAATACTTCATAAGGTTAATTATAATCACATCCATATGAAGGAAGAATTAGGTACTAAATTTCTAATTCATTAGATCTTCTTTCTCTAAACTCATCTGCTCAATAACAACAACGTTCGTTTGGTAAGCAAAGGAATTCAAATTCAAAATCACTACCCACTGCTTCTAGATAACATGATAAAATCACTATAAAAAGAAAATAATATAGAATCCGACCTGCTGGAGATGAGATTGAACGGCCGGCGAAATCTGGCGGGAATTCTTGTGAGAATCATAGCTCCAACGGTTTCTGGATCCTGCTTGAGAATCGAAGATAGATGAGCACACATCCATTTTGATTGCTTCGAACTAACGATGACGACGAACCGAAATCTGAAAGAAAAACGAAATTCTGATAAGAGATATCTATTTAAGGAAGGTACGTTTCTAGATCATTCGAACTCGCCGTTCTGCTCCTTCTCGTTCAAACTATTTTCCAGAAATGGGATTTCTTTTGGCATTTTATTTGTATTTTTACATAATTTTTTAATGTTGAATATTAATTTAAGGAAGAAAAATCACTAAATTCCTTGAATTTTAGGGAGAAATATGAGCAATCTATAGTGATTGAATTGTGTTTATTGCAGTGACATGAATATTAAATGATCAGGTTGAAAATTATCGAACATTAAAGTGGGTAGCTGAATAGATTGTCACATTTACAAGTTTGTTCCTCGTAAAAATATGATACATGAATCGATATTCTTATGTAACTCTGGTTTTACTCTCATATATCATTAATATTAGTAATGTTGTGACAGACTTATTCACATATATATAAACGTACTACACATCTATTGCTGATAGATTAACATGTGTTTTTACTTGCACCACAAGAAACGCGTTAAAAATAGCTTTACATCAACCACTCAAAGAACTCGAACTCAAAATCTTGCAGTTTGGACGATGAAATGCATCAAGAACCATCAAAATTTCAAACAAAGGCCAGTTAATTTGTTTGAACAAACTCGGCTATCTCATGAACTCAATATAGCCTCCAAGTTCCTATGTAGCTGAGTTTTGTGGATCAGTAGAGCATCTATTTCTCAGATGTCATTTGTTCGTATTCAAGTATGATATGAACTCGTTACCTCAGATTCTTTCAATCGGTTCGTGTTCGGGTGCTCACGAAAACGCAGCAACTAGAGAATACGACTATGAAGAATCAAATGAACGCTGCTTTGGCTCAGCCGTGTCGAACAAATCGTTTAGAATGATTGAATGATTGAATGATTGAATGATTAGCTTCTTCTTCTCCTTTCCTTTCTTCGGCATTCCAAACAGCCTGAACATGGAGAAAATTCTCTACCTGTGTTACTTGCTTGGAGCTTGCTGGGTGGTATTTTCAGGTCTTCCACTAGTATTTGGTGAAGCTTGTTATTCTCCTCCTTGAGCTCTTGAATAAGTTTCTGATGCATCATTACCTGCATAAAGACAACATAACAAGTCGAGTAAAATTTACAAACAAAACATGGTAGATTAACGAGGAGATCCTCGTTGTAATAGTCCAAGCCCACCACTAATAGATTTTGTCTGCTTTAGTCCGTTATGTGTCACCGTTAGCCTCACGGTTTTAAAATGCGTCGGAGATGTTTCTACACTCTTATAAGGTATGCTTTGTTCCCCTCTCCAACCGATGTGGGATCTCACAATCCACCCCGGATATCATTTGTAAAAGCCTAAGCCTACTGTTAGTAGATCTTGTCCGCTTTAGCCTGTTGCGTATCACCATCAACCTCACGATTTTAAAACGTGTCTGTTAGGGATAGATTTCCACACCTTTATAAGGAATGCTTTGTTCCCCTCTAACCAATGTGGGATCTCACAATCCACCTCCTATGGGGTCAACGTCCTCACTAGCACACCGCTCAATGGCTGACTCTGATACCATTTATAAAAGCTTAAGCCCACCGCTAGTAGATATTATCCGCTTTAACCCATTACGTATCGCGCGTCAGCCTCATGGTTTTAAAACGCGTCTACTAGAGAGAGGTTTCTACACTCTCATAAGAAATGTTTCAGTCGCTATTTGTAAACTGAAGTGGGAGGGAAAGCATATTCTTGAAAGCTAGCAAAGATTCATTAGTCTGAACATTTTATTTCTTAAGCAATAACAATTAAATAGGAACTAGTTGGTCACTTGTGCTAGGAATAAACAAATTCAGAAGCTTAGTCAATACAGCCTAGTTCTTTCCATGATGCATCTCTAACAATGAAGTCAGCTCACATTTACTGGCCATTGTAAAAGCTTACCATTTGAAAGAGACGGTTTTCGAGCCGTAGGCGTCCAACCTATAATGCAAGAAACATCAATCAGGACTCCATAACAAGATCAATTCATGTGCAAGAAGTGTATTTAATGAGCAAACCACATCAAACATTCATTGTTTCTACAGGAGTTCGTCTTGTCTAGAACCGAAAACCGAGCATGTATTATCATACCTCATCCTGCAGTTCAGTATCCCCTCCTTTAAAAACAGGATTCTGCAAGAAACTGTCGACGACCTTTTCGGTTCGAGTTTCAAACGATCTACTCGATAGGTTTTGTGGAGCAGTTTCTGGCATTTCTTTTGCAAACTCTCTAATGCTTGCAACAGGATGCTTGTTAGCCGAAGCATTTGTTATGCTCATGGCAGATTGCAGTGATACTGGTACAGCGCTTTGACTAATTGCAAGATTAGGATTATTACCTAATTTTGTCACCATCTTCTCCATTGCTTGCTAACAGATTTGGGTTTCAAGCTTCAAATACATGTATATAAGAGGTCGTAATGGGAAATATATCATGGATAAGAGGTCAGCCACCTACCATAACAGAAGATTGAACTTGTTGTAGAAATGAAGGCTTGATAGCTAGGCCTAACATTCAAAAAACTACGTGTCGGTTAAACAGACCAATACATGAACAAAAACTCGTAAACAACATAAATGGTATTCAGAAGATATTTTTGGACATACCGACACCGAAACCATGGCCAAAACCAACTCCACACCCAATGCCACCTTGGATGTTCTTAGCTCCTAATTTCCTGAGCTAACATGTGATATTTGAGAGAATTTCAATGGTCCAACATCTCATATAGCAAATAAAGAACACAAAATGCATAATGTTTAAAAGTTAGGACTCACAGAGTTATTTAAATGCCTGGTTACACCAGAAAGTGCATCGGTTGCACCTCTCGTGGCACTCATTACTTCATTCATGACAGGTATTGCACCTGAAAATATATGAATATCGGTTTCATACGTTCATATAGTAGCAAGACTGCCAGCAGACATGACCATGAACCAAGGAACAAACATATATCAGCAATTTGCAAAAAGCCTAAACCCAACAACAAAAACGCCTAAATCTGATCAAAGGCCAAAGCACAAACATTAAAATGCCTAAACTTAACCAAAACAGTGACAATTGAGTTAGAATTTAACAACAGTCATAGCTACCGAAATTACTGCAGACGATTATGTCTCTCCTAGAAGTTGGTTAGCTACCTCTCATTTTGTTCTACGATTCTTCCTATTCGTTGGTCATTTATGGCAGGCTCGTGCAGCTGCTCCAGGATTTGAAAAAGGAATTGATCGAGTGCATCTAGTTTTACTCAGCTCCACTCACAGCTAACCACAAACTTTATGGGACAACACCTAACCCTATGCCCTCCAACATGTTAGGAAACATATAATTTTAATGTTCTAAATAGATAGCTCCTATCGAGATTGAATTTAACCACAACTCTAAAAAGAACAAAAAGAAAAAAATGCTCCTCAGCTTCAAATGGTATTAGTTCCAACACTTTAAAATTCAAGGTTAAATTTGATGAAATTAAGATTTCAAATGAAACTTGAACAATCCAACTAATTACAAATATGTATTTAGAATCACAGGCAAATTTCTTGATCCGTCAGTGCGAAAGAGAAAGCTAATGAAAGAAACTGGTGGAGGCGAATGAAAGTCGATAATGGAGGAAAGAAAATTACCCATGTTTATGGGGCGGCCAACGCCGATACCGACGCCACAACCGACGCCGAACCCTGTAAATATCTGACCCACCTTCAAAGTAAAGGGATTCTCCATTCGGATTCCTCGAAATTGCCCTCTCTCGGAGGTCACTGTGCCCTTACTTTCTGAGACAATTCTAGCTTCCATTCTTCAACGAGCTTCAATCTTTGGACGCTGCAAGTTTTTCAGCGTTTTCGAAGGTCGCTCAGTGGGAAGATGCAAGCGAACATAAAGCTTCTCGCTATCTTCAGTGGGCTTTTTCAGGTGGGCTTTCATATGCGACCTTAAACCGCTCGGCCCATGAAGTTTTTACTGTTTGGTTCAACAAGCTACCATTTTTCCTCTCTTTTCTCCCGGGAAAGTTCCATTTCTAAGCACGACTCTTCTCAATCTCCACCACTTGTTTGCGTGGCCAATCGAGTCCTAAAATCACTAATAATCTGAAAAATAATGTCTCTCCTCCTCTCCCTGATTGTCATAAATCAGTTCTAGAAACGAGCTACCATGGCTATGGCTTCTTCTTCACCGTCTGTGTTGCTCAAATCTCCCATTTCACCATCTCTAGCTCTCCATTTTCATGGCGGAGAATTCCCCAAGAGCCAACTGTGGATTCGAGCTCGACCCAGAACTAAATTTTACTGTAGAAATGTGGTCAGTGCTCAATCAGAGGTCAGGAGGGAAGACATAGTTATAGTTGGAGGAGGGATTGCTGGTCTTGCCACTGCTTTGTCTCTTCACCGGTAGGTTCTAATTTCAAACCGAAACTTCATAGCTTTTAGTTTAAATGCAAATGGGTTTATTTGAATGCTTGAGGCTTTGAAATTTCAGGCTTGGAGTTAGGACATTGGTGCTCGAGCAAGCCGAATCACTTAGAACTAGTGGAACTTCACTGACCCTTTTCAAAAACGGGTGGCGTGTGTTGGATGCAATTGGGGTTGGAAATGTTCTCAGGACCCAATTTCTTGAAATTCAAGGGTATGTTCTAGTTTTTCTTGGTGTTGAACTCCCAATAATGATAAGCAGCAATAGTTTAGCAGAGTTTAATAATGATATTAAACTATGTTAGCCAGACCCTTCATAGTATTGACCAGCTCACTCGTGATGACTCAATTGATTAAGACATACACTCGATCGAAACATCAAAAGTTTGACCTTCACCCCACGACAAGTAAATGAAATTGCAATCAGTTTGAATGCAGATTCCATGGTTTAATAGCATATTGAATCACTGTTAAGTTTGAACGGGTAGATTATCTTATATTTGGCCTATAAACTATGAGACTGGGTTTGGTTTGAACTCATCTTACACACTCCCAAGTTTTTTGGAGAGGAAAATGTAGAAAAGGAAAAAAGATGTTATCTTAGATATGAGAGACCTCTGTCAAAAGTTTTTGAACTTCCACTGAAATTGTTTATATTACCAGCATTGCAGGATGGTAGTTAAGTCAGTAGAAGGAAAGCAGCTACGCTCCTTCACGTTTAAAGACGAAGACGAAAGGTGCCTTGTTTTTCTATCTTTTATGTTTATGAAACTGAATCAAAAGTGTGAAATCCTACATCGGTTGGAGAGGGGAACGAAACATTCCTTATAAAGGTGTAGAAACCTCTTCTTAATAGACGCGTTTTAAAACCATGAGGCTAGCGGTGGGCTTAAGCTGTTACAAAAAGTGAGTTGTACGTCAACATTTTTCCCTACTAAGAAGGGGTTTCATCATTTTCTTCTCGCTTTCGCCTTTGACTGTGAAGGGATTGAGACAAGTTTAATCGTTGTAAACCGTGTTTCAACAGCCAAGAAGTACGTGCCGTGGAGAGGAGAACACTGCTGGAAACTCTGGCCTCTCAGCTTCCTGCAGGAACAATTCAGTTTTCCTCTAAGCTTGAAGGCATTCAAAGAACTGATCAAGATGAAGTCAAGTTGGAACTTGTAGATGGCTCACAGTTAATGGCAAAGGTTATTCAATCTTCAAACTTCAAGAGAATCGACTTAACTTTGTTTTAGCAGTATAGTATCCTAGTGTTTGATTCTTTGGTGAATTGGATGTTGTTTTCTGCTTGATATCACTGTCAAACAGATTGTCATTGGTTGTGATGGCATTCGATCTCCCATAGCTCGGTGGATGGGATTTTCCGAGCCAAATTACGTAGGGCATTGCGCATTTCGTGGGCTTGCATATTATCCCAATGGACAGCCACATGAGCCAAAAGTGAACTATATCTATGGAAAGGGGTTGCGTGCTGGTTATGTTCCAGTTTCAGCTACAAAAGTTTACTGGTTTGTCTGCTACAACAGCTCATCTCCAGGTTTGCATTTCTCATTCCCATTCCTCGAACTCGATTCATGGCACTTTTATCTGTTAAAAGTTACCATATTTTCGGTATCCGATCGATAGGGTCGACATATTAAACTCAGATCAAAATTGGTGGTGTCTCACATTGCAGGACCAAAAATCACAGATCCAGCTGTTCTAAAGCAGCAAGCGAAAGAACTGGTAAAAAACTGGCCATCTGAACTACTTAACATCATGGACACAACCCCAGAGGACACATTAATCCGAACACCCCTCGTAGACCGATGGCTTTGGCCTGCAGTCAGCCCGCCCGCGTCATCGGGGAGAGTGGTCCTGGTTGGAGATGCCTGGCATCCGATGACTCCAAATCTAGGACAAGGAGCATGCTGTGCATTAGAAGATGCAGTGGTTCTAGCAAGAAAGCTGGCCACTGCACTCAAGTCGGAAGCACCTTCTGTTGAAGAAGCTCTGAGGTCGTATGGAACCGAAAGATGGCCTCGAGTGTTCCCGCTCACCGTTCGAGCCAATGTGGTTGGATCGGCTCTGCAGTGGGACAACCCAGTTGTTTGTTCTGTGAGAAACAATGTTGTCATTCCCAAACTGGTTAGGCTTGGACCTTTGCTAAATCATACCAATTTTGAGTGTAATGCTTTGTGAATACAACATGAGATTAGAGGCTTAGTACAATGTTCAAATGGTCTAAATACATTAAAAAGGTTTATTATTAGGTTATTGTTCAATATGTATTATATTATACTTATTTATTACTTTTAATCCTACGCTTTCAATTTTAGTTTTAATTGATAATAATTTTATAGGCATTAATTGATTACATGTAATTTTTTTCTTTTCGAATTATTAGTCCATAAAAAAAATTAAAATAATTCTCAAATTTTTTAAGATGTGCCTAATGGATCTTATCTTAAAAATCTTTAAGTACGTCTCCCAATTTTGAAAATATTTCTAAATATGTTTTAAAATTCAAATACCAATAAACACAAAATAAATATGAACGGAATTTTCCACTAAACTACAAAGCGACGTCGTTTCGGATAGAAAGTTTTTCTTTTCACCTCGGCATGTTATTATTCTCCCAAACAATAGAAACAAACAAACGAAAATAACTAACACAACAATAATAATATTTTTGTTTAATACACGTGGCATATTCGAGCTGTTTCCACGTCATCAAACGTATTGCCCACCTGGGTTCACTTAGTTCACGACATTTTCGGGTATTTATAAAGCACGCGCCCGGCACCCCCCTCTCCCTTCTCCCTTCATTTCTTCGATTTCTCTCTCTCTCTCTCTTGTTCGTTCTCTCTCTCTCTCTCTCTCTCCCCCCTCTTCTCCGGCACTGATCTTACTCCGGTCAAGTTTTCGCCGGCAGGTCCTCTCATCAAATCGATCTCTTCAGATATAATTATAGCCGGTATCTGATTAGCCATGAATCCAGAATAGTAAGCTCTATTTTCTCTGTGTTCTTTTTTACCCTTGCGTCTCTTTGAGTTGAATTTGTCATTTGGAAGCCTTTGTTTTTGTGTTGTTTTTGCTGAATTAGGTTAGATCTGGTTGATGAGGAAGATGGAACTTTTTAAAGAAACGTTTTGCGTTTTGTAGCTTAATTAAATGAGGTTTTTTAGATGGCGTTGCTCTTTGTTGTGATTTGGTTGAAATCGGGGTGATCGATTGGAGATCTCAATTTATTTACCGTTGTGAAAAAAAGGACCCTGTTAATTTCGTGTTGCTTCTCTCGAAATGATTGGAGGTGTTTGAATGTGAATTTGGTTGTCGATATTGATGTTCAGCATGTAATAGCAGCTTGAATATCTGAAGGGTTATGTAACTCGTTTGATTCTTATTTTATTTCGAGTATTTCTAAAATCTAATTGTTTGGTTTCTTCGTAATCCTTGAGGAGTGTTATATATGCATTATTTTACGTAATGGACTTTTGATGTTTAGTATTGACTATTTAACAGTTGGGAATACTGTGAAAATTTTTACTCCTCCGTTCTTTCATCTGCAGTGACTATTTGTTTAAGCTTCTGCTTATCGGAGACTCGGGAGTTGGAAAATCATGTCTTCTACTGAGGTTTGCTGTAAGTTTTCAGGATTGATTCTCTCCCGATAATCTTCTTTCTTCCACACTCTTTTTTCCTTTCGTTTTCTGTCGAGAATAGAAGATGCATTTCTAATTAATAGTATAAATTGTTTTTCCATACCAAATGAGCTAAGAACAGTTACTGTGACTAAAGTGCGTACTCATGCGCTTCAAACTGTTTGTTCTTTGTTGAATACCATCCGAAGTTTATCTTTGACTCAGATAAGGAGTCTCTTCCCAACAGTTAACACCTCATCGTTTTTAATGTCTTTTGCCCCTCCCTTTTTTATATATACAACAGAATTTGATTCCTTTCCTTTTAAGTTGGCCATAAATATGTTCTTGCAGAATGATGTTTATTTAAGTCACTCTTAAAGACGATAAATAAGCTGTTCACAGTGATTAGTTATTGTTATATTTTATAGAAATTCTCATTTTGTGTAATAGAGATTCACATAAATTTTGCATTGGTTGAGAATTTTGAGTCCCTGTCAATTGACGTTTATTGAGGTTGTTATAAAGCACGCAGTTGTGGATATATCCACTTGTTCCTTATTTAATTCCTTCTCTCTTTGAAACAGGATGATTCGTATCTGGATAGCTACATTAGCACAATTGGAGTTGACTTTGTAAGCTTCCACCACTGTTTGGTTTTCTTTACAAATGACTATTACATGAATATTTACAGTTCTAACACTTCGATTAAATTTTTACTTGTAGAAAATCCGTACTGTGGAACAGGATGGAAAGACTATTAAACTTCAAATTGTAAGATTGAATCTTATAATTGTCCTTGCTTTAACCTAAGCTTTAGGATTGTTACTTGTCTAACCTTTTCCTTTTTCTCTTACTTTCTTTCTTCCTTTCTATTCTAGAACATGCTGTTTTTTTCTGTAGGTATGGATAAAATTTAACAGCTGACCTTCTCTTTATCTAGTTTAGAAGGGGAAAATGGGAGGGTTCAATTTTATTGCAAGTGCACAAATGATTCATATTTTCTTAATATTGCTTGTTGAAGAAGTTTTCAGTGGTTGTTTTTGGCCTTTTCGCTGTTAATTGGCAATTTTGATCGTCGATTGTAGTGGGACACTGCCGGTCAAGAACGTTTTAGAACAATTACTAGCAGTTACTACCGTGGAGCTCATGGCATTATTGTAATTCCTCCACTCTCTTCGTTGTTCACTTCTATTTCCTGATTTTGTCCATCTCCCTAAAGTAAAGCCTGCTTGAATGCAATGTTCTGCTATGTAGGTCGTGTATGATGTTACAGATCAGGATAGCTTCAATAATGTTAAGCAATGGTTGAATGAAATAGATCGATATGCAAGCGAAAATGTGAACAAGCTTCTGGTTGGTAATAAATGTGACCTCACTGCAAATAAGGTCGTCTCTTATGAGACAGCTAAGGTAGTAATTCAACTTGGGTTTCTTTTGATAATTATACATTTGGATGTTGAATATGAATGAGAAGATTAAAATTTGATAGTGATTCATAACCTTAACTTTTCTAAGGCTTTTGCGGATGAAATTGGGATTCCATTCATGGAGACAAGCGCTAAAAGCGCCACCAATGTGGAAGAGGCTTTTATGGCCATGGCTGCTGAAATAAAGAACAGGTATAAATACTAGAAACTTTTCTGATTATATAAACCTATTTTTATGGCAAAGGCTGCTCCAAACATCTCAATCTCTTATCATACCAAATCGCAGATGAGACAGCCCACAAGCTTACTCTTATTTTATTATTATGATTATTATTATATTCATGAGTCTCAGTTACACATAACTCAAAATTATTAAATCTTGGTAGATAACCACCATGGTCAATGATCACTAGGCTATCATAGGCTGATAAGTTCTGAGTGTATGATTCCGTAGTTGGGAGGAAACCAAGCTCGGACCTTGTGCCTAACCTACCTTCTAGTGCTATGGTCTTTCACTAGATATCACGGAGAGGTAGATAGGAAGTGGTGAACGGCCCCTTCCAACTTCTACCTCCATTCTATAATCTATACCCCTCCACCATCAGCAGCTCTATAGCCTGACTTGACCTTGAGGTGGCTAGATTCCTCGTCTTTGCTGCCCTTTTTACATGATTTGAAAGTCTTGGGGTTCATTTGGTATAGGATGGCGACACAGCCAATGAACAATGCAAGGCCACCAACAGTGAATATTCGAGGACAACCTGTGAATCAGAAAGGTGGTTGCTGCTCTTCTTGAAGATGCGTGGTCCTTATTGAATGGTGACTGATGGTGATGTTTATGTGTATGGACCGTGACGTGTAAAACTAGTCGTCTCTCTCTCTCTCACTCTATGCTTTTGGTATGAAAAGATTTGTGGGTCAAGATTTGCCTTTTCTTTTCTTCTCTCGCCTTTTGTCGTCAGCACGTTAACACTTCCATTCTTTCAAATATATTTGTTTCTGGATCAACATTATTCAGCTGTAAAATTTAGATATCAATGAACAGTAGTGTTTGCTTCATTTCCTTCACTATTATTATTCATTCATTCATAATCATATATATCTCATTGACATGAAATTTCTTTTTAGTCCTGTTGCAAGGTATTCCTGTTTTGTACTTTGGGAGAGCTCTTAGAAATGTTATATTGCAATTAGTGCCAAGGCGATGAATGAAAAGATACGAAGTGATTGAACTTTTTTAGTTACAAGCACAGGCAAGTGAAATTTAGAGATCATTATTTTGAGTGTGTTTTTAGATAAAGAATTGGTCATTTTGATTTCTGCATTTATTCCATCGTTTTTAATTGTCTAAATTTAGTTTTAGTATTTCCAATAACTCTTCCTATAAGCCTTAAAATGTCAGTTTAATTTTTTCTGTAGAAACTTTTTAATAAGAATCAGTCAATAGGGACTTTCAAACTTTGATTTAAACATAAATAAATGGCCATTCTTCCTTTCAAAGCTTATCCATATTTTAGCTCGTCTTTTTTGTGTATTTGGAACTCTCTTCGATCAATGTCGTTAAAGATACAAGACAATCATGCGGATCTAGTTTGAAAAATCAATATCAAAAAGAAATCTGTTGCTGGGGCTTGAACCCGGGTCTTTTGGGTAAGAGATGAATATCCTAACCAACTAGACTACAACGGTCAAAAGGCAGGGATGAATATCCTAACCCGGGTCTTTAGAAATTAAGTTTGTTATCTCATAATTTCTACTAATTCCTGCTTGGGATGATTAGAGCTCCGAAGAAAGGTCAAAAAAGGCAGGGAAGAAAAGACATGCACTGAATTGAATAAAGAAGGTCGGCAAGGTAAAGATAGAGCTTCACACATAGTTTTTGAGTTCAGCGTAAGGTTAGCTCTCATTCATATACTATATGCTTGAAAACAGTCTACCTTTGGGGGACCTTGTGATTCATCTCGCATCAGATCTACACACATACTTGTCTAGTTTTAGGTGCTAGGACCAATAATACCTGAATCATTCTACCAATAAGATTTTAACTAGACATTTCGTAATCACTCTTATTTATTCTGCTGGTCGAGAGAGACCATTACTATGCGTACGTCTCAAGAGAATCTTTGATTAATAAAGCACAATCTAAAAGATTTTAAATGAAAAATGGATAGGTGAAGTACATTATGCTTGCTTGCCAAGACGTTTGTTTCGGTGTTCAAAGGGCAATCCATTTTTAGAAAGTTCTAGGATACATGGCAGGTTTTGGAGAGTTTTAGGCTACTTTGTAGGTTTTGAGGGCTGGCTCGACACTTGGAGAGCTCTTTTGAAACTTCTATCTCAAGAAGGAAAAGTGAGATTTATAATTTACATTGATGATTTGATTGAAGTGTTAAATTGTGTACCGATACAACATGACAAGATTACAACATTTCCTTTTTTTTGAATGCTCAGTAAAATTCAAATACATATATACGCATGTAGTATAGTTCCATAATGAAATATACTTGCAAATATTCCCAGTTGGTCATCACAACATAAATCAGATACCTCTAATAATCTTCACTGCCTGAACGTTCTATGAATATAACCATACCAAAACAGTAAAAGTTCATCACAAAACTTCAAAATTTTCAAAAGTTATGAGCACCTTCGGAATGTTCATGGTCTAATGATTTTGCAGGCAGCATTCCTTTTCATTTAAAACAAAACAGCCATTTCGAAGGAACAAGAAAATAGAGAAAGAGGGGGCAAAAAGAATGGCAAAATTTGAGAACTAAAATAATAATAATCATAATAATAAACATCCTTCAACAAAATCAAAATTGATGCATAACTTAGGACGACTGAGACATAACATCCAAGATATACACTACATAGAAGCAGAGCATTAGAGGGAGTTTCAGAATCCTGTTGGTTGTTGTAACTCAAAAATCCCGATCTGATATCTCAAGGAACATAAAAATGTAGTGACAAAATAGATTTTAGAGTCGTAAATCCTCACTTAGCACTCAATGAAGGGAACTGCCCTGGATCTTCAATGGAGGGGGCTGCCACATTCATTCTGTTGCTACCGTTGCCACCATTGCCGTTATTGAGCCCACCTCTTGAGCCTCGCCCACGGCCCCTACCACGTCCACCGGGGCTATAGTACCTCTCACCTTTAGCAGGCTTCAGGAACTCAGTTATGGTCACAGACTACAAACCAAAAACAATTACTTGAATTAGTTCAGGAAATATCAAGTGTATGAAGAACACAGGTTCAAGATAAACTATGGTTGGCTCGAGAGGAAACACCATATACATGAACGACTAGGCACTTGAATACTAATGAACAAAAGTTAAGAGTAGCTCAAAACTGGTTCAAGATAAACTATGGTTGGCCCGAGTGGAAACACCATATACATGAACGACTAGGCACTTGAATACTAATGAACGAAAATTTAGAGTAGCTCAAAACTGCATAAGTAAATCCAGACCAACATTTGTAAGCTGCATACCAAATGAACAAAAATTTAGAGTAGCTCAAAACTGCATAAGTAAATCCAGACCAACATTTGTAAGTTGCATAGTAATGAACGAAAATTTAGAGTAGCTCAAAACTGCATAAGTAAATCCAGACCAACATATGAAGTATCGACAATGCAAAGAAAACAATTCAGTTTAATTTCTGACATGTAATTAATTAAGACCAGACAGTAATGAATTGCTGGAAGAAAAATACAATGCATACCTTCTTAGCTTTCTCCTCCTTATCAGCATTATCTTTGCGTTTATCCTTATCAGCACCCTGACAATAAAAATGGGTACAGTTAACAACAAAAGCAAAGCTAAAGATGGAATCGTGAGAGTAAAATGGGAGAAGCCCTCACCAATTTAGCAAAGATTTCATCATTGGTTTTCTTGCTGGAAATCTGCTGCATGTTCTCCAACTCTTCATCAATCTCAGCCTTCCTCAACTCAGTCTTTGCCAACAGTTTCCTACTCTCTTCACGGAGCTTCTCATACTCTTTGAGAGTCATTTCCTGTAAAAAGATAGAAGAAAGAGATTATATGGCCACTTGACATGGCAGACTAACCAATGTATCAATACTTCAAGTAAGATCTCCTACCTTATCCTCAGGTTCCTTCTCTTCGGGTTCCTTCACAGCCTCCTCTTTGTTGTTGTTGTTGACATCGCCATCCTCTCCCAATTGTTGCTCTGATGCAATAATCTTTTCATTTTCAGCAACAGGCTCTTCCACATCCCTTGAAATTCACGAGTCAATTAAAGACAAGTTCAGCATTATCAAATCAGATAATTTTTCAAAATTGGACAAGGGAAACTTACGGGGAAATTTCTTCACCAGGAGCTCCCCAGTTCCTACGGCCAGCCCCATCACGCTTATACTCATTTCTAAATCAAAAGACTACCAGGGTAAGATAAATACAAAAACAAATTTATAGGAAATTGATGAAACAGGAACTAGTATTTTGAGCAAAGAATTTACTAACCCACGTCCAGTTCCACTTCGGCGTTCATATAATCTTCGAGGTCGTTCCCCTTCTTCTGTTTCCCCATTGCTGAAGCCACCACGACGAGGACCACGAAAAGAGCCATAGGATGCACCATAACCACGCTTCTCAGCTTCCTTTTCACCTTCCTCAGTTGGCTGGTATCGATCGGAGAACCCATTCTTGCCACCATTTTCATTATTTGCCGAGTCTCTGTTGAATCCTCCACCACCACCACGTCCTCGTCCATAGCCACGCCCACCTCCACGACCACGGCTATTTTCATTCTTTGCCTCCCTTACTGGTCATAAACAAAACTAGAGTCAAAATAATGTAAAAGTACATTTCATCAATGAAAGTAGTAGCCATACTAAAAAAATAATACCCATGTCCCCTAATTCATAAGCTCTTCAACAGAAATAAAATCAACACTGTAACTTACAACAATACTAATTAAAAGTACTGTAATACTGACTTTCAATATGAATACCTCTTTCCATGTACCAGCTCCTGCTCAGGCAGTTATTTGGCATGGCATAAGGGAATTAAGTTAATTATACCAACGAAGGAAGCATAAAGAGCATACTATCTATGTAATATCAACAACAATGTAATTACCTATTTAATTAGATCGTACACCACATTCTAAAAGATTTGCTTAATCCTTGAGATAAATGGTTTTTAATATTCTAGTCCCTTCATTGAATGATTTCTTTTAAGACGTTTAATTTACCTGTAGCATGTAAAAGCAAGCCAGAAATTTAAAGACGAAGAGTTAGAACAATCAATATTTTTCAAATCAATCTAAATCAGATGTCATATATTCATTAAAAAAAATCATTAACCACACCAGAATAACAAAACTAGGCAATACACCAGCAAATCGTATAGATCGAAGGAACTATAATTTAGGCAATAAGTTCAATCCACAAGGAACAAATAACAAACAATGGAACCAGAGGAACTTCAATACATCCATTCAAACATTATGACCGCATTGCAAACAAACCCACCAACTACCACTAATAACAACAAATCCAAAAAAATGACCAAACATCACATGGATGACAAAACCATAAGCAAACAAATCGAAAAGTTCATTGTTCCTTATTCACATCCAAACAAGACTACAAGTCGATGAACAAGACCCACCAGCCTGAGCAGGAGGGAGAGGCTTGGAAGGAAGCTTAGCTGCTTTCGCAGGCTGAGCCGGAGCCGGTGCCTTCTTGGACGGCGGCGCCGGAGCGGACCGCTGAGCAGAGGCGAGCTGATTAGGGTCCTCGTTGTCGTCGTCGACCAAGAGATTAAAAGGGTTCATGGTTGCCATATCGTGATTGAACAGCAACTCGACGAACTACAAAGCTAAAATCAACCTTCCAGTCGAAAACCCTCAGAAATTACTGCAAGCAATCCATAAAGATAAAGAACAGTTGAAGTTACAGAATTGGACTTGAGAGAAAAAAATCAGTGAGAGCAAAAGAGTGAGAGAGAGTCTGATGAATTGGACAACTGCGTGAAAGAAACCCTAACCACTGCGGCAGAAGGATGAGATGGGAATAAACCCAATC